AACGATGATGTGCCCTGTCATCTGCTGCCGTGCCAGATTGTGCCCCCAACATGCTCTGCGTCTGCAGCGGAAATCACAACTCTTATATCGTCACTGGGTATCTCTTGCGGCGTTTCTGAGCAGCTTCTGGTTACAGTTCTATTGGGTTGTTTCATATGTCCCCCCTGATCTTGATCCTTCCGTATTTCATTTGCATGGATGTTGGTATTTCGTCATCATGTGTGCGTGACGTGTGCATGATACTCTTTTATCACACTAGCTATCACTCACCCACCCTGCATTTGCAGGCCACAATGCCGCACAATTACCACTGTGAAATCATGTCACAGTGGTGATTGTGCGGCATTGTGGCCTTCTTCGGGTCCCAGCCCCCGTCCTTCTGGGAGGATGGAATCGACAAGCTGCCTGAGCGTTGGCGTCGAGTAGTGGATGGTGATGGTGCATACCTCTAATCTTCAGGCTGGTTCGCTATTGAGATATTTACAAAAAAGTCGGGGGAAAAAACTTATGCAATAACCTAATAGCTTCCTCCTCTATTCTGGGCATAAGCTCTCTTTCTGGCATTGACTGAAACTGTACAGTGTATATAGTGTGTCATATAAATAGTCTTTTACCGCCTTGGCAATGGAATTTCCGGTTGCCTTTACTAGAAATTCGCTGAGTTGTGGTACTCTGTGTGCCTTCCTTAGTCTCTCAACCCTTTGGCAGTTGCGGGTAGTCCCAGTTGGTGTTCCAGGTGTTGCGATACGTTCTTGGTCTTGCCGCCAGAGGTCATCATCTATATAAAACCATGAGCTCTGCTACTGCTGCTGAGCTCGATGTGCGAGCATTAGAGAAACTAAAGGACATTTACGGAGATCTTGCCCAAGTACCAACACTTTCCAGTGGTCGCATTCTGAGCACGGGGAGATTTATTCAGGTTAGACTTATTTTGTTTCAACTTGCTGTCAAACAAAGATTTCATCCCTTCTGAATCCAGGTATCATCAGTCTGGGACAATCACGCTATCTCACTCAATAAAAGCACAAAAACTCAGAGATCTTCAGTTCTCGAAAAAGTAGATGGAACTAGAGATCTGCGTTTGATCTCTACAACATCTATGCCGTTAACCAGCTTCGAGTGAGTGTTCCTGCTAGATTTTTCCATTTCAACAAATGAATAGTTAAACTAGAAGTTTTTAAGGTCGCAGTCGTTTGCATATTCACCAAGCAGTTCCCTGGTAGCGCAGCTCATCACTATACCTGATGGAAAGGATAAGAAGCAATATCTTAGGGTATGCCGATGGTCTCAGAGTCGTTTTGATTCATTCTTAAGATTTTTATTGGAGCACTTTGTCGCCCTCAGTTATTGTTCCGTTTACCTTTTTTGTTAGGTTTTCGATCAAAACGAGCACATTGAAGTATTATGTTCTGATCTCAGTGGTCAAAAGAAACATGGACTCATTTATGGAATGGGTGCAGGTTCGTTTTTCCTCATGCTATTGTTCGTCAGTACTCAGTGTGCTGAGCACTGAAAAAAGGGAAGATTTGCCCATTCTC